TCCTGTCAACGCGAACTATTCGACGTGCAAGGTTCTTGCGGCGCCGCTGTGTGCGAACTGGTTTGATCTCGACGCCCATGGCCGCAGGCCTCCTCCAATTCCTTCCCGCTCTTTGTTAGCCATGTTTAGGCTTGCGTACCTATGTTTCTTGCATCTGGGGACCTCATACACATGTCTATCTTATGGAAAGGGTTGCGCTTACTTGTAGGTCGCTGCACTGTGACTTCCGCCGTCAATTGCCTCTGGAGCTCTGGAGTCAATCCGTAACAAGGCACGTATCACACTGCACCCCTTCTCTCCTTATCTACCATGTCAATACAGTCTTGCCATGAATGGGCTATTGAGGTTCTCTTCTTCAGCAGCCGCAGCCGTGCCGGTGACGTGGCGACCGATTGGCAGCTGGCAGTGAGGCTCGCTTGACTGACACTACGAACAGCGTAGGCTGCCGCCTTCCACGTCTGACCCCCATATTCTGCGTTGCTTTTTCAAGGTATTTCCTCGGCATCGAGGTTCTCCCCTTGCCAAGAAGGGAGGCCAAGGTATCTATGGCCAATATCGAGTTTAAATGACGGTGGTAGGTCCTGGGATACTGGAAGCTGTCCTCGCGCCACGGTGCCTATTCGGCTGTGCCCGCAGACTGCTACAGATACGTAGTTGAAAGGGTAGACCCAAAGTGCACGGGCGCTTCTCGTGTGCGCATATAAGTCGCATAACCAGTGCTTTGCTCTCCATTCAAACTGCTTGCCCGCTCATGCCCACAACACACTCTGGAGTCTCCCGCCGTCTCTACCTTGTTCTGTCTCTACTGGTGGCCGTCACGGATGCGAGCACCAACTATACGACCTGTCTCGCCCAAGTCAGGAATGGGGCATTCCTGAACTTAACGAAGTCCGACGGCACCCGAATGTACCCCAGCGGTGGCGCCATGGATAGTCATGGACGATTCCTCGACCTTTCTTTACCGTACACGAACACCTCCAACGCAACCGCCATACCGTACAATCTGTGCATCAACGAGTGCGGTACAGGCCCAGAAGTCTTCAACTGGACTATCTTCAGCACCAACTTCAGTACATGGCTACTACCGTGGCTCGCGCTTGTGTCGCAGCTGCCTTTCGGCTCTCAATTCAGATATCAGAACATCTTGTCAATCTTCCTCACTGTGGGATCTCCGGCTCTCGCCGCATACTCCCTCATGATCTGCGTTCTTAACTGGGCTTGGGTTCCACGCGCTTTCGACGGCATTCGATATCCTAACGTCGAGCATGCATGGCCCATCCTCGCAAGTCTGCAACACTCTCCCTTATACATGGATCAAGAGGACTCGAAGGGGATGCTTGCTAGCGTCGTTGCCCTGCCCGAAAATGACAAGTGGTGGAAAATCCTCGGCGAGGGACTTGACTATGAGGATAATTGGACCACTGCCATCATTTTGCAGATTGCCTGGGTGGTTGTTGCATTTGGTGCGCCTCTGACTCCCTCGTGACAGACTTTTGTCGTCTGACCATTTTTGACATCGCAGTTCTCACCGTTGTCGATTCCTTTCAGGACGGTATCATTAATGACTTCGGCAGCAGCGGAAAAGGTACAGGGACGTTGTTCTTGTGGCTACTGCCTCTCGGTGCGTGTCGCTCTTTGAATCAGTTCGGGCCGATTAAACTCATATATATGGTGCTCGTAGTTATCGGTTGGCAAAAGCTTTCTCCACGCTGCGATTACGCCCGAGTCCGCGAAGCTCTTCGCCGTGCCGACGAGGTTTTCCGCACTCTCCCGGAACCCCAACCGGCGGCGCCCACCATCTATACGCCCTTTGGTGTTCCAGAAGCTCCTCCGTTTCCTGAGATCCGAGTCGATGGTTTATCGTCGCCCACGACATACAACGCCAATCCAATCGAGCCTACACAGGATCCAGATGACGATGGCGACCGTCGCTCTCCTTTCATCTGGATGACGGACGACGACGATCGGAGCGCGAGTGCCCCGATATATAGTGACTCGCGATTGTTCCCCTGGACGGCAAACGTCGAGCTTGTGGCTGGAACCTTCCGCGCTGCAGCCGAAGTCTTGCCTAGGAGAGATCATCTCCTGTCATTGAACGAACAGGCTCGTCGCAATGTTCTTCGCGCCATCAGCCGCCGTATTCCCGGCCATGTTCGCCCGCTGAACTGGTGGGACATCATACAACGATGTGCCACTGCTGGTGCTCTGGCAATGGTTCTCCATTGGGGTACTATCGGTAGCGCCATCGTCTACTCCGTAAGAATCATATCTACTATATGATCCGTGTACAACACTGACTTTGGTCATCATTCCCAGTTCTTCACGCCTACGTCAGGATTGGGCTGCCGAAGCGGCTCATTCGTACTATATGCGGCTGTCGGCACACTCGTCTGGATTATCATTGTGTCTTCTTCCTTCATGGTCCACTACGCGGAATGGCTGGAGTATACCCCTCGTTCGAACATATCTAAGAATCACCCCTCTCCACAAACTGTTCGCATATTTGCTAAGATACTGCGATCATTCGGCAAGTTCCTTGCTATACTCAATGCGCTGTGGATCGTCACGGCGTGCATATTCCTATTCTCCAATTTCTACACTCGCTGCTGGTGCGACTCGAGCGTGCTCAGCCGTGGGACAATTCATGGGTTCACCACAATAATACCAGATGACGACGCTTCGCAGCTCAAGGGCGCGTGGATCGGAGGTATGACACTTTACACTCTATCTTTACATTGAAATTGACGCGAATTGTCTAGCGATCGTTCTGTCCTTAGGATCAGTAGCCATCTTCATCGGTGGGTGCTTCGACAACTGGCTTGTCAAAGCGTGTCACTGACTCTACTACTCTTAGGCTTTGTATACACCAACGTTCAACCCGTTGGCCCCGACCCATATGCGCGGAACGCCAAGGCACTACGCAGGCGCTCAGCCGCGAGAAACATCCATCGAACGAGGTCAGGAGTCGACTCGGAGGCCCCACTTCTTCCAATTCGTGACAGCCCGGCTTTCAATGGGTATTCTCCCGAGGATGCGTACTTTGCGCCTTCTACCTCATCGCACTCCGGGAGAGACGCTTCGTTCTGAAAAATTTGTCTTACATCTCATCTGCTACCTAGGACCACCCCGCCACAGAGTCACGGTCATGCTTAATCCTGTAGTTTCGTTATAATGTTCAGTTAGGGTCGCTTCCCGATTGCTGTATACCCGCCTTCTCGTAGTTCGTTTTGATAAAATATCGTCTACATGCTTGGTTGCAGTGTGGTCCATCTCAACATCGGGCGAGCTCCATTCAAATCAGTGGGCGAGTCAGATCCTCCCAGTCTCCATATATAATTTACAAACGAGTGGTACAAGAAAGCACAGGTATATATCCTCAAAGCCGATCTTATGCGACTCAGCCCGCGGGTACAGGCCCACTAAGCAATGGCTCGTCCACATCCTCTTCCTCCTCACACCCCTCCTCAACAGTGAATAGCAACTCCCTATCCAATGCAGCAACCTCCGCCTCTAGATTTCTCCCCCTCACCAACACCTCCCTAGCACCCTGGCCGGCATCCACGACAAGCACAAAGTCTCCATCCTCATCCAGTCGGTCCATGGACAGCTCGCCACCGTCTTCCACGCTAGTGCCACATGCGCATCGGCGACATGAGTATCCTTCTGAACGTGCTAAGCGACAGGTTTCGCGGTTCAGATCGCGGAGGGATGCGACAAATGAAGCGCGTTGTTGGGTGAACGCCGTGTATGCGTTGAGTGTCGAGATGGCTGCAAACCCGTCAATATCTTAATCAGTGAGAGAAGAATGTGAGAGGAAGACTTACTCAAAGCAGCATGAGCAAGTGTAACGACCCAAACAATCAAAGGCGCAATCCTAACCCACAATCCCCTCATACACTCCTCGCTCTCACTAACAACCAACACGCCCCCGGCACATTCTCTCGCCCAACTATCATTCAACACGCTCCATGCTAACGCACCCACCGTAAAGCTCGTCACAACGGCTCTCAACGGTAACACGATCGATTGACCCAACCAGAAGTTCTGAGGCCTCCATCTCTTCAATGTATAGATTTCCAGGAAGCTAGGAACCGTAAACAACAGCATGCTGGCAGCTTGCAAGAGGCAGAGTGTTTCAGGATCGAGCATGTACGTGTTGCCCCATACTGTGAGATGAACCGTCGCCATTCCAACGAGCCCGTTTAATACCGCATTAGCGCATCCAAGCGCCCGTAGACGGCCTGGGATGGCCGACGGCGCTTTACTCGGTTTGGGCAGGAAGATGTCCAATGCGGCTTCGCGTTTGATGTACCATCCCGTCTGAGATAGGAAGTAGCTGTATAGCTTTGCATAACCGGCTGATGCAGCGCCCAAGAAGAAGAATGATGTCGGCGCTGCTTCTAACCAGTCGAGATTCAGCGTCGAAGTTGTGGTCGGGGATGTTGGCGTAGTGTTCGGGAAGCCCAACCGGCTCAACCAGTCCGATAAGAAGTAGAACGCCAATGCGCCTAGGATCGCGACCGCCCGTGCACGGATGACACGCTCGTGGATATACACACGCCAGAATCCGGCTCTCGTCGCACCGAGCGTCCTGTACATCCCACGCCCATCCTCAGTACACACTCCCTCCACATGCAAGCGGTACACTTACGCGCAGAACGCCGTGACACCTCCAACAAGTGCAAACACACAAGCCAGAACGCGCAAGATGCACATTCCCCACCGCGCTCCGTTCTCAGGACCATCCTCTGCATCCTCGTTCTCTCCGTTGCGAAGCACGCCCAAGAGACCCAGAAGAACGGAGAATGGTATGTCGGCGCTGGCGAGGAGGGCCATGGACCAGTGGGATGAGTGACGGCGCGCCATCTCTAACAGTCAACAAGGAAGGAGATGGCGGTGGGCAAGGAGGGGTTAAGCCGTGGGGATGCTATATTGGTTCGAGCGCTTGCTCAGTGCCAGATCAGAGCGGGGATTAACTGCGTAGAGCTTCTACATATATGTCCCTGGTAGTATATCGGCTAGTACACCCGCTTGTCACTATTACAGTGCGCGGGAGAGCGGGGTTCGACTCCCCGCCAAGGAGTATATAACGTGACGTCAGGTTTTTAATGTTTTTACGTTGATAATCGTTCAAAGAAGGATATATAACTGGATTCAAGGATATGTCTTCATACTGCTTATATATGTCGTCTCGCGGACTCTCACCCGCTTGTGCAATGCCAATGTGCTTGTTGATTCGTTCGCCGGTCTTGATTCTCAGTCTTCGTCGGGCAATTACAGTACCAGCCTTCACCTTCTCGGTACTGAGCATAACGGGCATGGGCGGGACGCTCACTGATCGTAGGTGACCGGAGTTCAACATTCAACGCTATGAAGCCCATGGCTGCCAGTTTGAAACTGCTTCCTCGCGTCGCGCGCCCAGGAGTGGCGCTTGCCTCTTGCCATCACCATCGGACGCATCGCACATCGAGTGGATGCAACTTTGATCACCATCAGAATAGCTTTTCTGTATCTTCGCATCCCTGGAAGCACTCCCGGTCGTACCTTCTCTTCTTTGCTTTACTACTTATCGATATCGTGACATTCAGCATGATTGGACCGCGCGTCTTACACTCGACGTCCTTCACAGCGGTGGTCAGGCAGAATCGGACTCTTGGGCATGCCACTCTCGGAAGAAATCCGCTGCACTCGCCCGCGACCGCTTAGAGACGGTCAAACGAATATACTCACAATCTCAGGCTCCTTATCACCAGTGACAATCACCTCGTCTGCGAGCTTCCTCGGATCAGCTCGTCACGTAAGTACCGTATCCTAGTACATACGCGTCTTTGGTCTTCTATGTCCCCACCCACGACAGGGAACGTGGCATCAAGGCACTCGAGCTCATTCAACGCGGGATGTAAGAACGTATCCGTTGTCGGCTGTTAGTCTCTGGGCTGCGCTCTTCCGCGTATCTGTGGCGCGCGCAGGTAACGTCTAGTCAACCTTATCTTACTACTTATTCTGATGCCATAATGTTTCACAGCTTCTGCCGGTCAAAGGGCGTAGGTTCATGTCCGCGAACCGCGGCAAATATGCCTATCATACTTGCGCAGAAGCACCGGGTTGACCAAAACCGCTCCCGCATAGCCCACGAGCTTCCCGTGCATTGAATGGCACGGATCTTTCGAAGGTACCGTCAAAATGTTGAGGAACTGTGATACTTGGAGTTCTTTGTCCTGTGTATGGAAACACCATGCCCCATACGAACTATACGACAACCTGTGTGACTGTCGACATGCTACAACGAACGGTACGTTTTCGATGTTCCGTTCGTGTCTCGTGATGTATGGCCCACCAGGTCACTCATAAGTGTACGGAGAGTATACCTGTAAGCCAGGCTGCGCGACGCAACCTTGAGGCTCGAGTTTCAGCCGCCGACTCCCTCCCGACATTCTTAGACTGAACCCCATCCTTGTTTGATCGCCCCAAGCACGATGCAAATGATCCATGTAGCCGCTTTCTTATCGGAATCCGGTGCGTGTACACCAATCGAGGTACTTCACACTCAGCTGACTTGACTTCCCAGTGGCCGTATCCAACCTGTCGCACGTCGTTTGTGGCATCTATATGTATGTCTCTCTTCATCTCGCTGGAAAGGGTAACTGAGCCTATTGAATGATAGTTGGGAGTGGATAAGAAGTCTCCACTATGAGTTTGACTTCTACACCGGCAGGCGCCCGTGGAAGCAGACCATGTGGTTATACCTGATCTGTCGGTACTCCGTACTGGGCACTATCATCAACATATTTGTCGTTCTCAATGCTCAAACTGCGTTGAATTGCCGTGTGAGTCTTAAATTACCCTTGGTATCGAAGCATAGAGCTCAACCTCCATGATGCTACACAGGTATGGATCAAGTTCGAGATATTGCTCCCATACCTGGGCCTGCTTATGGCTTCATCTCTCATCGTGATCCGTGTGTAAGTGCTGCGCTCGCTTCTCTCTGTACATCAAAGTGAATGCCCACAGGATTGCGATCTGGAACCGACATCCCGCTGTGGTAGCGGTGTCAGCTGCGAGTATGCTCGCCCAGCTTGCGGTGCTCATATACTGCGTCACGATCGCCACTGATACCTTGGGATCCTATTCACCAATGGTTAATGGGTGCTTCAAAGTGAACCTCGTACAAGCAAGCCTCCCCGCGCTCGCGGCGACGTTTACCATCGATGCGCTTTTGTTGCTCCTCATGCTTATAGGCATATTCCTGAGAAGAGAAGCATGCCGATTTGGTTTGGGGGGATTGTTATTGAAGCAGGGGCTCATCTGGCTGGGGGTGGCCATAGCGGCCGAGTTGCCAACCGTCGTGCGTAGACTCAACTTCCGTGGTGTACCGCTTTAAGCTGACGAAGTCATAGATCATCCTCAGTCTGAATGTGAATGGTACGTGTGGATGACGATGCCTTGACGATGAGACTCTTGTCGCTGATACGCCCGGCCCTGCAGAAGCGCTGCATCAGGTATGTCATGTTATGGCCTTGTCGCTGAACTCAAGGCTGATGCGTCCTGAAAAGCTCTTCATAACACCAGAAGGTGCGCAGTTATGATAACCTCTCGGCCCTCCATAGACTTACGAGGCCACAACTTTAGTGATCATCTTGTGAGCCATATCTTCCTCGAACATGCCAAGCATCAATGCTCAAGTGTGCCCTTCAGAGCCCTCGCGGCGACGAACATGCATCGAGCGCTCACTGATTTCCCGCTCGTCAACAGGTGCGGGCTGAACGCTTACTCGTATCTTTATGATACATCTCTTTCAGAGCATTAACTTCATACTTCTGCAGATCGAGCCTACCTTCCTCCAACAAACCTATGAAACTCTCCGTGCTCAATCGAACCACGTCTCGCAACTGGGGGATGCACGACACGGTTGACCCTGTGAAGCTGCGGGCGGTTGAAATAGAAGTGCGTGTAGAGCAAGAGCGGGGAGACGAGACGCGCTTTGGCTTCCCCCAGGAACCGATATCCCCGTAGAAGTTCGATTAGTGAATGCTCGGAAGCCATGTTGTACTACAATGTACGAGTGTCTCGGTGAGCAAGAGACCTGGGTAGTGCGCAAGATATGATAGAAACGGAGATTTAGACGAATCGGTATGCTTATGTGTGGTCGGCAATCCTCAGCAAGCACTTGAGCCAACCTAATGCGAGCGGCGGTCCTACGGGCTTCTTCTAGCGCGACACCGACGACGAAAAAGCGTGGAGCTCCATGCGCGTTGCGTACGAGTGCCACCGGCATATAGTACTGGCGAGGATAGGCTCTCCTTGGTCAGCCTGCTTCATGTGTAGCAATCGTGGCGAAGTCTCTGGTCGTCGTTGGGGACGACGAATCGAGCGCGCGGGCAGCGTGGTGCGCCCATCCGGACCGAGTCGGCCGAATCGCGCGCTCGGCCCCGGCTGGCCCCGGTCGGGTTGCCTCCTGCGATCATCACTGTACGCTCAACTGTGGTACTAGAGAATCCATACAAGACTTTGGCGCTCTGGCCCTTCTACAATGAGTCCTACAGCGATGTTGGGTGCTACAATGCACTGAGTCGTCGTGCTTTATCTGCACTCGTCATGCAATAAGGTTTACCTTCTGGGCGCACATCTCTGACCCTTCTCAGACCTCAGACCCGCAGATCCAAACTTCTATACTTCCGGCGGAGCGCAACAGCTGGGGACTGTGTACCGATCGCATCGTCTCCAGTGCATACCTGGGCACAGCTCAGTGACTTGCAGGGGCTTATACCGCCTACTACCACTGTTCATATGTCCCTAGACTTCTTTGCAGGCAAACAACGCCGGTCAGATGGGCTGGGCAACGCTATACCCCAATCGCCGGATAGTTGGACCTATCCGTGCCTGTGAGCCGAATACGCACCGTGTGTGGTTACATACCGCTTTAGCTTGTATACTTCCTAATTCCTGTACGCAGATGACAATCTGAGCTGTACGGTCACACAGAAACGCGCGGCAGCTTCCAGTCAGCGCTCAATGCGATGATGCCTGTTCCGCATTTGATGTACATGTGTCCATAGAAGGTCTTCTCTTGCGAACTCAAAAGTAGCCGTGACTTAGAATGCAGACCTTAAGACGACATTCCATGAGACGCGCGGGCCGAGTACGCAGGGATGGTGGCCACCACGACAGAGTACTGTGCGTTTCCAAAAAACCCCTCCGTGCAATGGGTGAGGATTATGGCTGACCTGTGCTCCAGTATCTGTTATCAAGCTACAACATATTGTTTGCGGCGTGTATATGTGAGCTTGTGATCATTGTTCCGCTCGCCATCCTCGATGCTGAAATCAAACTCGATTCAGCTGGGAATGGGTGACCAGTCTAGGATACGAACTCGACTTCTATACTGGGAGGCGCCCGTGGAGGTGGACACTTTGGGTGTACTTGCTTTGCCGGTACTGCGTCTTAGGCGCCGTGATCAACCTACTCGTTGTGCTCAATGCTCCGGGCCAGCTCGCCTGCTTGGTAAGTCCCATAATCTCAACTCTAGTATAGGCGGGTTCATAGGTGCTCAATCTCTTCCTCACAGACATGGGCCAAGTTTCAGTTCTTGTTCACCTTCACCGGCGTGTCACTCGCTTCCCTGCTTATTGCGCTGCGAAGGTGTGTTCTCCGACCACCAGTACCGAACGGCGCTGACTCCTTCTCACTTCGATAGCATCGCGATATGGGGTAAACACCCTCTTTCCTTTGTTCTTGCGGGGACGAGCATACTAGCGCAGCTCGCAGTATTGGTTCGCAGCATCATTGTCGCCACAGCAGTATGGGAGGTTGAAGCGCAGGACTGCGTGCTACCGGAAAGCGCGCGCGCAACCTTACCTGTGCTCGCAACCACATTCGCAGTGGACCTACTACTGCTGCTTCTCATGCTCTCTGGTCTGTTGAGAAAGAGGGATGCGCGTCGGTTTGGTATATGGCGTTTCTTGTGGGCGCAAGGACTCCTCTGGCTTGCACTTGCCGTCGCAGTGGAGCTACCGACAGTGGTAGGATATTCTGCGTCACCAGTGTCGCCGAGAAAGACGATACTAATGATATAACATAGGTTAT